AATCTCGCTTTACTCTCTTCCAAGTCGCCTCGCCCTTGACTTGGTCGGGAGTCATATTGAACAAAAATAACCTGGCCGTAGCCTCCTCTCTTACCACGAAGCTCCCCACTTCACGTGGTACAATAATGCAATTTAGCACAACAACTCCTAAAGGTTAAACCTCGAAAGTTGCCTTACTTCATTAGTCCTCCAAAGGAGACTTAGGTCAATGCAATACACGTGGAAATTTCCCAAAATCGATACGTATATACACGCTAGAGACTTGGCAGCTGTGACATGAATGGCTGGCCTGGCATGCGGCAACGCGGCACGCTACCTGCGGCACACTACACACGGCACTTCCTACAACTCGAGATGCATCACCGAGCGTGGCACGCCTGTGCGCGGCACCAACACGCAGTACACCTGCACCGCCCGCATCCAGTAGCTACGGTTCATTTCTCATCAGTTGTTACATCTCCCCGTTTCTATATGTATACGAAGATCGAAAATTCCCTAGTGCCTTGCGACCCTAATTCCAACTTCAATATCCCAGTACTCCGACTCTGCTGTCAGGGTACTCGTACTTCTTCATGAGTCAATCGATGTTACTCACGATGTTCATGAAATAGAAATCTTCATTTTATGAGAACACAACATGATCAACAGAAAAATTAAGGCTCTTAACCCCATCAGAAATCTCATCCCACGCGAGGAAAGAAAAGACAAGAGAAATTTCAAATAGTAATGAAATTGAACAACCAAGCATAGTCTCAAAACAACTTCAAACTTGTCTAACAAGACAAAGGGAATTAAACAAGGTTTGCTAAAAAGTACGAGAAATGCAATTCTAACAAAAAGGAAGGAACAAATAATCAACTCAAATCTGACATTCGATCGACTGCTCAGCCCTGGTTCTGCTCGGCATCATACTGGGCCATCGTATAAACTCGTGCTCGACCTCCTTCGCCAACCCTTGGTTGGGCCTGCTGATGCTGCTGCTGAATCTGTTGCTGAGGTGGCGGCGGGAGAAGCTGTTGCTGCTGCTGCTGGTGGGGTTGCTGCTGGAATGGTTGTCGTCTCGGGGGCTCGGGGCAGTTGCTACGGAAATGTCCTGGGCGATGACAGTT